AAGTCCAAACCTCTTTAATTTTTATCACATTTCAGTGCATGATGATATTATGCATTAAAATAAAATATCACATTTTCTAATTTGTCTTACTAAAAGATCTAGTTTTTCAATAAATGATATATATACTAAAGTTCAGCTCCATTAATGTTTTTAATAAATGTTAAGATCAATTCACTAATTATCAAAAACTTTTTGGTTTGAAGACAAAAAAAAAAAAACTAATTAGAATTCATTTGAAAATCATACTTGAATTACTCATAGGTTTTAATTTTTGGAATTATTATTTGAAATTTCGTTCCAAACACCCATTTACTCAAAAAAATCAAATTTTCTTTGTCAAAAAAAAATCAAAATTTGTTTCGCCACGTACGTAATCATCAGACGGATTTTTATTTCCTTCTCTTACTGATAGCTTCATTTTGGGATTCAAGGTAACGTCCAATCTTGTAAAGGCTCAGACGGATTCTCATTCCTTGGTAATTGGTATCCTTACGTATTTTTATGAATCTTATATTAAATATATTTAGAAAAATGAAGATATACCAAAATAAGATATGTGGAGAAAGTGAAGAAGAAACGAGACCTTTCGTATGAAGAAGATAAGGCAAACGCTGATAAGGAAAGCAATAGCAATCCAAAAGTAATAATATACATAGTATTAATTACGCCTAAATGTACCCTCTCTAACGATATATAGGAACATCTTCTTTCTATATATGGATAAGCTTAATGTGTTGATTTTTACTCTATACAGTTCCTATCGATATTCTTTCTGATTGTGAAAGGTATCTCAATTGCCGTAAGGCATGCCTAATGAAACATTTGTCTCAGACCCCCAAATATTTTGAAGAAAATTACATAAATATAGGCCCTCAAAAATATTTTTTAGACCCCTAAAAATTTGTTTACATAGAAACCGTCAGAGTCCCCCAAAATCTCAGGACCGGCCTGTCTACGTGACCTGCACAAGTGTGCCGCTTAAATTAAAAAGTAGGTCAACAAAAATTTAAACGCAATACTATTTCATCCACTAATATAAATGATCGTCAATGATAATTCACCTATGCAAACGTTACAGACAAAAACGAATGTCTACGTACGTTTACGGATGAATACTACGTTAGAATTCATATGCAAAATTAATATCATGAATAAAAACATAAGATGTTCATTTAGTCATTTAGTATGTGCAATTATCAATTAGCCACAAAATATGCATGCATGCCTGTCCCCTGAGCAAAATATATATTGTTAATTATTAAATATGTCGTCATCACTAAAATAAAATATCTTTGCAAGTGGTGGTGACCTACGAGCTCATAATTAAGTCAGATCACTGTGTAATTCAATTGGTTAATAATCTATGCAGGTTATATTCTAGAAAGATAAACTCGAATTCCTTGTGATTGATTTGTTAGTGGCAAAAGAATTCCATTCACGTTCTAATTATCAAGAGCACATGTGATTTATGTATGATCAGTTGACTTATAGAATGTATAAACTAAAAAGAATGAAAATTCTCAAGTAATGAATCTTTACGACATTAGGTTTATAAAATAACATTTTATTTTATTTACACTTTGTTTCAATGATAGAAACCTACCATGAATCGGATGGATCAGATATAGCCATATATAGGTCCATGTATGGTTGATTTAAAACCACATTAGCGTCTAACTTCTGTTTGGATCACATGAGTCCATGGATCAAACGTTATAGCTGGCAAAAAGGTTTGGGATATAAACCAATCTCAACACAATATTAAAACTAGGGAATATTAGAGGATGTTTACTGTTGACTTTAGCAATAAAGATTTCAGTACAACAGCTCGGATCTAAATCTACCCTTTAACAAAGTACATAAACACGAGCTTCGCGTTAGCTTCTCTCTTTCTGAAGCCATGTTAAGATTGTGATACTTTGTTGTGGTTTTCAATATTTAAAATGATATGAATTTCAATCACTGACTAAGCATTATGAGTTCAATTAGGACAACATTAAATATTGCCACCCAGTACAGATTTTCACCGCAAGATCCGGAACGAAAAATATGTCAAACCAGAGCAGTACATATTATTGTTTTATTTTTTTGGTCAGCACTATATATTTTGTATATTCACGCGCCATCGTGAAATATCAGACTCGTGAGTGGGAAAAGAATATAAACTAATAAACAAGAAGAGAAAAGCAGAAACTCGGAACGCGTAAACTGTTGTTGTCGTCGCAGTTAACGGGTTTGGTTTCTGAGTGATGACTCTTTTTTCATTATTTTTCACTTTCAGTTTCATTTGCTACACGTATCTTGACTTAAAGTAATAGATGTATTAAGTAACAGAAAGAGTTTCAAGAAATTAATTTCATAGATCTAAGAGCAGTATATGGATCTAAATAACATAACAAATTAAATACAGATCGATGCAGTTGCCTTGTTAACAATAGGCCTGTTCGTTTCATAAACACGGCGTCCAGCGGTAGCGGCAAAAAAATAAACCTTTGCTTGACAGAATCACACAGCACCGGTGAAGCACAGTCAACTGATTTCCAATCGCTGCGGCAACTACCAACGGATAAAACGGACGCGGAAAATATCAGCGACCACCGCGACTCATTATTTTGTGTGTACGGCAATCCATTAATGATTACTTTTACTTTTGACACTGTTATTTTGCCTCCGTCAAAGTACATATTTTTGCCGCTACCGCTGGACGCCGTGTTTATGAAACGAACAGGCCTAATATTAGTGGGGTTTGCTGCGGCTAGCTCTCTGCCATATATAATATCTACGCATCTCGCCTGACTACTACATAAACCGGAATAATTTGTTCAAACACTATTCTAATATATCTGATGAGGACAAATAAAGCGATTGCGTTTTAACTTTAATGATGATTTGCAAACACGATATCTCCCTTTTTGGACACCTTATCTCTTCGTTTAAAACAATTATTGTGTATGTTTGCGTGTTTGATGAGTATGTTATAGTACTTGTTTGAAATTATCAAATAATTATTCTATAGTTCCTGCCCTATCAATATGAATATGACGTATCAACGAAGTATATGAACCTGGATGTAAAGACACGACCAGCCATATCTAGGTAGCACCGTCTAATCCAGATTGTAATAGGATAAAACAATGTTTAACATTACAGATTCGACTTGATAATAAATTAAATGGTCATCGAATTAAGAAGCTGTTCGAATTTAACATATAGTTTGTCTGTACTGAAATTTATAATTGTTTCATAACGAAAGAAGATGAATTTTGCACTCTTAATGAATATGTATAGTTTTAGGTAGAGAGATCAAAAAAGACAATTCAATATTTCAAACGATTGCATGTGTCTAGTGGTTGAGACAATTATTGGTTTGATGTCTAATGAACTCTCCTCTATAAATATCTTCCAATTTACTAACCCAAATTATAATACTACTAATTAGTATTTTTAAAGTTTTGTAATCTCAGTTGTTTATTTAGTACTAGTATTACAGTTGACAATAATATTTGGGGCGTATCGATAGTGCGAACATGACAATTTTTATTAGGACCAATGTTTCTTGTTTAAGGGTTTTTTTTATGTGTGGTTGAACGCCAAAAAATAGAAGGTTAAAAGAAATCATAAAAAGAAAATTGTAGCAAAAAAAAAAAGAAATGTGTTAATTATTTATTTTTCGTTTTCATTGTCTTGTAAATGTCTAGAATTTGTGGTGGCGAAACCTAACCCGTGAACATTCTTGTAAGGTGTTGGGGCCAATGCTAACATGCGCGTGGAAGTGCGAGAAGAGCACGTAGCATATTAAGGAAAGAGACAATCTCGTGATTATGGATGAAGTGGAGTGATACGGCGATTAATATCGTACCTTGTTTTCAGCAAAGAGTATAACTGATTACTTATTTGATAATACAAAAACTAGAACCGAAATAGAATTTGTCAAAGAACACATGATTGTCAATTTGAATATATACTTTTGTTCATAACTCAGTAGAGCTTTGTGCTTCTAGCTTGATTTCCCGTGAAAATAATGTCATCTGTAAGAGTGCCGGCCCTGAATATTTGTAGACCAAAAATAATTAATAAAAAAAGATTTATCCTTATGATTAAGAACTGAATCCATTACCTATATCTCAAATTTAATTTTCATTAATCACTACGTTACTTAATATTTTATTAAATATTTTAGCTAATATTTTACAGAAAAAAATAACTAGAAAGCCTATATTTCTTCAGCTTAAACAAAAAAAAAACTCAGTAGAATTTTAAAACACGAATACTCCACGTCTCTCATTTAAGTCATACTTACTCCCAAACTAGAAGTCTACAACTAACTAAAACTACTTTTTACGATACACACACTTTTGGTTGACAAACTAGTAGATTAGTAAGTAAGACAATTAAATTCCAGCAGATGCAATGCAAACTTTCTATATTTTTGTATGATATTAAGGATAACTATAATTTCTTCCAAGAATCTTACATTAAAATGTGTAAATAAAAGTGTTTGTATTCGTCTGTTATCACTAAATGTATGCAAAAAATATCATCCGGGAATTCTTCAAAATGTATTTTTAAACCTTAGATGCTTGGTGTTCAAAAAAAAAAAAAAAAAAAAACCTTAGATGCTTAATTAGTATTTTTAATCAACAAATGACAAAAAGCTAAACACGGTGGGTCCCAAAAATGTCTCTTCAAGGTGGACCCCATAAGGAACCCTCCATTGCATAGTGCTTTAAAAGCAGCTGCAAAGCATCACCATTTTAGCATCAAAACAAGAACCAAGTTTTCTTCTTTTTACACTTTCAAGAATATAAATTTCTTCACACATCTTCTCTCTTTCCACCATTTTTAAGCTAATAAAGTTTCAACCTTTCTCTGTTCACCACATCTTTCTCTTCTCGTTTTATCCTCTGGCTCATCACAACTAAGGAAGAATACAATAAAGTGTGTAACCCAACTCCCAAGTAAAGCAAGAAACTTGCTTTTGCTCTCAAACAGTCTCCTTTATGGGTTTGAAACCTAATGTCATGAAGAATGTGGCTTCTGCTCTGTTTCTTCTAGGGTTTCTAGTCTCTTTAGTCTCTGCTTCTGTCTCTTACGATAGCAGAGCTATTACCATCAATGGCAAAAGAAGAATCCTTATCTCTGGATCCATTCATTACCCCAGAAGCACTCCTGAGGTTTTGTTTCTTCTTATTCTCAGTTGCAATGTAGTTTAAGAGTTATTACAAAGCCTTTTTGCTGTTTTTGTAATGTCTCAAACCTCACATTGTCTACCTAATTTCAAGTAAATGAAAAATCTAATGTTTTGTTTTCTTGTCTGGATATGCGTGTAGATGTGGCCAGATCTAATAAGGAAAGCAAAAGAAGGAGGTTTAGATGTGATTCAGACTTATGTGTTCTGGAATGGGCATGAGCCTTCTCCTGGAAAAGTAATAAAAATCTTACCTTTTATTTGTTGTCAGTGATTGGATCCTTTTTTGTGTCATTGGATTCCACTTTATGGTTTTTTTGGCTTCATCTGCAGTATTATTTTGAAGGCAACTATGATTTGGTTAAGTTTGTCAAGTTGGTCAAACAGTCTGGACTCTATCTTCATCTAAGGATTGGTCCTTATGTCTGTGCTGAATGGAACTTTGGGTAATCTCTTGTCTCTTAACCTTAAAATAGAAAGTTTAAAATGTCCACAAATATCTAATATGATTTGTTTGTTTCTGTATATGTATTTTTTTTCAGTGGATTTCCTGTTTGGCTTAAGTACGTTCCAGGGATTAGCTTCAGAACAGATAATGGTCCTTTCAAGGTTAGACATGTTTTTTTCTTTAAAACTAGTCTCTATCTTCATTTTGAAGTTAACTAAAATTCACACTTGTTCATTGACTCTTCTTTGACTCCTGAGATCATCACTTTATTCTGAAACATTGACTTTTCTTTTCTGCAGGCTCATATGCAAAGATTCACTACAAAGATTGTTAACATGATGAAAGCTGAGAGGCTGTTTGAATCCCAAGGCGGTCCTATAATCCTCTCTCAGGTAAGAACTCTTGTTTCTTTTAAAAACAATTCTAGTATAGAGTGAGAGTGGGACTAAGTAGACTTTTTGTCTGTGTTAAAATCAAATGTTATGTGACAGATTGAAAATGAATATGGACCAATGGAGTATGAGCTCGGTGCACCCGGTAGGTCTTACACAAACTGGGCAGCTAAAATGGCTGTGGGTCTAGGCACTGGTGTCCCATGGGTTATGTGCAAACAAGACGATGCTCCAGACCCCATTGTAAGTGTTCTTTTGTCTTGTCTCTTGAACAGTTTTCTTCATTAGCTGTATGCTATTTTCTCTCTTCATTCTTTATAAAGAAATAATTTCATTAAATATTAGTATTCATTTTAAGTTTGCACATGCTTTGGTGATACTTCTTTTCTTGAACTTTTTTTCTTTGACTATTAATACTCTTTTTTTTGTCTTTAATCATGATATTCAGTTAGTTGTCTTTTGTTAAGCTCTTCTTTTACTTGTTTAACTTGTTGAATCTTTGATTACTCTCTACTAGATCAATGCCTGCAATGGCTTCTATTGTGATTACTTCTCTCCAAACAAGGCTTACAAACCGAAGATGTGGACTGAAGCCTGGACTGGATGGTAAGCAGATACTCAAAAGTGAATCTCTTCTTTTACTATTGTTTCTCTGTGATCTCAGTCTGTTTTCTTGATGTTTCTTCAGGTTTACAAAGTTTGGAGGCCCAGTTCCTTATCGTCCAGCTGAAGATATGGCATTCTCCGTTGCAAGGTTTATCCAAAAGGGTGGATCCTTCATCAATTACTACATGGTAAATCTAAAGTTGCTATCTTCTTTTTTACCATGTTCATAAAGTAGATTTTCCAATTCTCATAAACTGGTTTCTTGCTCAGTTTCACGGTGGAACCAATTTTGGTCGTACTGCTGGTGGTCCGTTTATTGCAACCAGCTATGATTATGACGCTCCTCTTGACGAATATGGTAAGCTTACTAAATCTCAGTTATCTTCTACTAAATATAGTAATTTTTCTCTTAAAATATTGTATATTACTCTCAAACAGGACTTGAAAGGCAGCCTAAGTGGGGTCACTTGAAAGATTTGCATAGAGCAATCAAGCTGTGTGAGCCAGCATTAGTATCAGGACAACTCACAAGAATTCCCCTTGGAAATTATCAAGAGGTCTCAACTCAAAGCCTTTTTTTTTTCATTTTTTCGTTAGTATTGTTATGTACTTGAGAAACTTATGTACACTTGTTAATGTGCAGGCTCATCAGTACAAATCAAAATCTGGAGCTTGTTCAGCATTCTTAGCAAATTACAATCCAAGATCTTATGCCAAAGTTTCTTTTGGGAAAAACCACTACAATCTACCTCCATGGTCTATTAGTATTCTTCCTGACTGCAAAAACACAGTTTACAACACAGCCAGGGTAAGAAGAATCACTACATGCTTCAACAAGATATATGATTAAAGAGGATCAAAGTTTTTAAACTGTTTCTTCTTGTTTTTTTGGATGTAGGTTGGTGCTCAAACTTCAAGGATGAAGATGGTTAGGGTCCCTGTTCATGGAGGATTATCTTGGCAAGCATACAATGAAGATCCATCAAGTTACGTTGATGAGTCATTCACGATGGTGGGATTAGTGGAGCAGATCAACACTACACGAGACACTTCAGATTACCTGTGGTACATGACTGAGTAAGTATCCAAAGACCTTGTAGAATCTATCAACGCCGAATGCATTTACACTAATTGTCTATTTCTTTTGTTATACAGTGTTAAGATTGATTCCAACGAAGGGTTTTTGAGGTCTGGGAAGTTGCCAACTCTTACTGTTCTATCAGCTGGACATGCTATGCATGTGTTCATTAATGGCCAGTTATCTGGTAATTGCTTTGTCTACTAGTTTTAAACATTAATAATATCTGCTGGTCCAACTGTTTCGCCTCATGTTGATGTGCTTTTGCTCTCTTATCCAGGATCTGCTTATGGTAGTTTAGACTCTCCCAAGCTAACATTCCGAAGAGGTGTGAATCTAAGAGCTGGTTTCAACAAAATTGCTATACTGAGCATCGCTGTTGGTCTCCCGGTTAGTTCGTAGCACCAATCTTTTTCCCAAACACTAAGTTCAACTTAAGTTCTGAACCTATATGTTCTGATACAATGCAGAATGTGGGACCACATTTTGAGACATGGAATGCTGGAGTTTTAGGTCCAGTTTCATTAAACGGTCTTAATGGTGGACGGAGAGATCTGTCCTGGCAGAAATGGACTTATAAGGTACAGAAATAAAGATATCTCTCTGGCCTAATATATATTTGTGCCACTCTACTGATTCGTGATTATCTCTTTCAGGTTGGTCTCAAAGGAGAGAGTCTAAGTCTTCATTCACTCAGCGGTAGCTCATCAGTTGAGTGGGCAGAAGGTGCTTTTGTGGCTCAAAAGCAGCCACTTACTTGGTACAAGGTTGGTTAACATCTCCAGTTTATCTTTAAGGACATCAAAATTAGTTTCTGTTCGTTTGACATTTTTCTCCATTGTCTTGTTTCAGACGACATTCTCTGCTCCAGCTGGCGATTCACCGTTGGCTGTGGACATGGGAAGCATGGGAAAAGGTCAGATATGGATTAATGGGCAGAGCGTGGGACGTCACTGGCCTGCATACAAAGCAGTTGGTACTTGCAACGAGTGTTCTTATAAGGGAACATTCAATGAGAACAAGTGCTTAAGAAACTGTGGAGAGGCTTCTCAGAGATGGTGAGAAAAAAGCACAGTTCATGATAAGAATACTATCTTAGACCCTATAAGCTAATGTATTTTTTTTTAATTAATTCTGTAGGTACCATGTCCCAAGGTCATGGCTGAAACCAACTGGGAATCTATTGGTTGTCTTTGAGGAATGGGGAGGAGATCCAAACGGAATCTCATTGGTCAGAAGAGAAGTAGACAGTATTTGTGCAGATATCTATGAGTGGCAATCAACGCTTGTGAATTACCAGTTGCATGCTTCTGGAAAAGTAAATAAACCATTGCATCCCAAAGTGCATTTACAGTGTGGGCCTGGACAGAAGATCACCACAGTGAAGTTTGCTAGCTTTGGCACACCTGAAGGAACTTGTGGTAGTTACCGTCAAGGAAGCTGTCATGCTCATCACTCCTATGATGCTTTCAACAGAGTAAGTTTCATGGATCTTTCTTTCTTTTTGTTCTGTTTTGTGCCTTGAAGTATGTTCTGAAGGCTGTGTTCTCTTGCAGCTTTGTGTTGGGCAGAATTGGTGTTCTGTAACCGTAGCACCGGCTATGTTTGGTGGTGATCCTTGTCCAAATGTGATGAAGAAACTAGCTGTAGAAGCGGTTTGCGGTTAAACAAGAAGCAGCAGCAATTTCATATTCTTACAGGTTTTTCTGATAGTATTAGTATGTTGTGGCTATTTATCAGCGGTGGAAGTTGTACAAAAGGGACACAACACACCGTTCAAACAATTTGCAGAGTTGAGATTTATATGTGAATAAGCTTGTGTGGTAATTGTAACCCAAGAAAGAAGAAGCACATTGAGACTGGAGAATAGGTGTCCATGTGTAGATTCTTTGAGAGCAAAACTGGGATTATATTGTTCTCTGAGTTTTGCTTCCAACTTGTGTTTGTTGTTATTGCTATAGTTGTATTAGCCTGAAACATTTTCTGCAATGATCTCATTGCTCCTAAACTTATGTAATGTTTTTTTTCTGGAATGGAACATCTTTAAGTCTTGAATCAAAACATTAGATTCAGCCAGCATCTGTAGAAATGTACAGGTGTTAAAGAAAAAGAAACACATAGAAATGTTGATTTGATTCCTTTTTACTTTGTTACACACAATAATCCAGAGTTCACTGGTGGCATGAAGACACCTCCATTTTTGTATAGAGTTCTCATTATAATCATGACTGCCATTCCAAAGAGGAACAGAACGATCATAAGTGAATTTATAATAGAAAACCAATGGATTTGATCCTCATTCATGACAAGGTATGTGTCCCACCGAGAAGCCCATTTGATTTCACTCTCCTGGAGTATAACAATTTTTGTAAGCCAAACAGCAAAGCCAAGAAGAAGTCTAGAGATGTTTTTTTTTTTTACCTTAAATGAGACATCATATGTAAACACAATTTCTTTTCCTTCCTCAACTTCTTGAGGACCATGACTGCTTTGGATTAGATTCTCTGTGTCATTGTTGCATGCTGTTAGCTGATTATTGTTTTCATCCCACTCCTTGTACTCATGCATGATACTATCCAAAAATATTTTTTTTAAAAATGACCAGTTAATATTCACATAATAACAACCAATAGCAATAGGCATTACCTGTAGGGAGTAACCTCAAACCCAACAATTCTAGAAGAATCAGACTCTTGTTCTCCGTGGTACATAACTCTGAAGCTCAAGTGATTATAGATAAAATATTTATACTCTTCCATCTACAAAAGACAGAGCTAAAAATGATTGGTAATGAGACCAAAAAAAAAAAAATATGGCTGCAGGAACAGAGTTTCTAAGACATAAATACCCCTGCGTAACTCCCTATCAAGCCAACTCGGAAACCCTGTACATTAGTTGAGTGTGTTCCATCTATGCTTTGTATAAGTTCAGCTACTGGAAGATTATCAAGAACCCTGTACAATGTTTAAGACTAATCAAATGAAACTTAGGAGACACACAGATACAGAGAACAATAACTACTTACAAGTTAGCACGGAATTCATCATGAATCTTTTCTTTCAATTTTTTTGTGGACTCGGCGTCAAGTTTAACACGGCAAGCTACTTTGCAAGGCTGATCCTCCAGCATTTTAAACTGAAAATTTTCACTAGTAAAAACTCAAAAATTCTCATAGTGAAGAGGTTAATATTAAAAAAAAAACAAGCTTACAACAACAAGAGCTAGAAGAATTAGCATTTTACTTACAGTATAAACTGAATTTTCAATGCGGTCTCCTCTGAGAACCTCTCCTAGATTCTCAGCATTGTTCAAGATGTTACTACTAGGCTTACAGTAATTCAAGTAGTAGTAGTCATAAGGAAGTTGGGTCTTGGTAGAAGTCAGTTTGTTGACTTTGACATAAAGGGGATCACCCTGTTCCAGAAAAAAAAAAGCAACGAATCAAGATCTGACAAGTCAAGTTGCTGATAGAGCCAACAAAAAAAAATTGTAAACATAAATTTTGAAAGGCATTATCACATTCGCATTAACTAAAGTCAAATGTGAAATGCAGATAACCAGCATGATGGATAACTTTTTCACTTGATGAAATCTATATGGTTTTACGGATTTGTATGTCTCATAGGAAAATAAAAAAAGAGTTACCTTGTGGAAATCACGAGGAGCTACCTCGGGGAGACAGAAGACGAGTGATGAGAAGAAAGAGAGGAAGAGAGTGGTGTAGAAAAAGATGTTTCCTTTGGTCTCTTTCTTCATCTCTTTTTCTTCTTCTGTCTCTAGTCTAGTTTCCTCAGGAGCTATTCAGATGGCCGGGGAAATTCAACAGCTCACGACTTCGTATTTATTTAACGAAGATGTTGATAAGGGTTTTTAAGCCTTAGAGCAAATCAATTATAGTATTTTAGATTGTCGAACCACAGGAAACTAGTGTCTAAACACTAGAAATACACAAACCTTCTTAAGCTAAGCAAATAGAGAGTTCGATTTGTAAGAAGCTAAGATCCTAAAAATATAAACAAAGGTGATCTCAAATCCAATCTAGAAACCATCACAAGAACTACTTTTAATCAAATGATAAGGTAGAATCCATGGGATTAAGGTAATTGATCTAAGCAATTAGTTTCCAAATGAAGGTGCAAGCTTCAAGCAATCACAAGTCTCTATAGGTCTAGACACTTCAATAGACAAACTCTTTTTCAAGATGGATGCCCTTTTGCAAAGATAACTCAAACATCTAATCTCTTAGGTTGAATGTTATCTAAACAAACATTATGATTTAGCCTACTAACCATCTAAGCTTTCTTAACATCAAATCTCTTTGGTTAAGTAAGTTTAGAGCAATACTAAGTTCATTAAAGCATTTTAACAAACACCTTCCGGGCATAAAATAGCTTAAGGTCTAGATGAGAGTGATCAAGTCTAATCTAGCATTAAAAACACTTAGTAAGCATAGATACAAGTAGATCTAACAATAAACACCTTAACCCTTCAATAATTATCCTAAATCTACCTAACCCATGGATTTTATAATTGTCTACTCAAAAACCTCCATGATAAACCTTAAATCCATTGCCATGGCCAAGCTCGAGCTTCAACCTTCCACCACGAGGGCACCGTTCCAAGCTTCTCCACCAACAGAACCTCCGTCATCACCTCTCCCTCGCTGTCTTGGCCATCGTCTACTCCAAGCCGCAGCCAAGCAAGGCGCCTCCAGCTTCGCATCTCACCGGACTTCGATTCAGCACCACGAGATCTCTTGTACAAATCGCCTCCTCGATGTCCTGCTCTCAGCCCGTGTCGTACTCAGATCGTGGCCGTGCTCATCGTCGCCGTCGGGTTCGCCGTATTCCATTCACGGAGGGAGAACGAAGAACAACAATGGTGGACTTCTAGGTATTTGCGCAATAGGTCCTCAAGGTTTCAATGTTTTGCACTTCGGCCCCATAACGTTTTGATACTTGCAGAAAGGCCCTCGAATTAAGCCCTGAACTTTAGATTGTGAAAATTAAACCCAGCGAATATTACTGATTTGCAGTCTTGGTCCCTGCATTCTTGTACTCTTTACTTTTGACCCTGAACTTTCAACTTTGCAGAATTGACCCTTCAATTTAGCCCAAAACTTCCAATTGTGCACTCTAACCCCTATAATATGCAATATGCATGCAAATGCAATATATACACCTATTATGCAATCTATATAAATAATATGAACTAAAATATGAGAATACAAACTTATAAAAACACTATATATCATATGTACAAATTATAAGATCATGATTAACCTGGGGTTCTTAGACTGTTAAGAAACTGTTTTTTAATTTCCGTTAATAATCTCACCTTAAGAACTTCGGGTTAATCATGCTCTAAGATGTTGTTTTTGGAGTTTCTGATCGCTTAGTTTTAAATGTTTTTTTTTTCAAAATCAAGACTCCATATTTGAAATGACATTGATGTTGGGAAAACAGACAGAACTATTAGGAAAAAATAAATATTAATTTTCAATTTTGTGCATAAAGAAAAGGATTAGATATTCCTGTTTTAAGACAAACTTTGAACTCCTTAAACATTCAAACTTAAGAATGCAATCTTTTAATGTGGTTAGAACATCTCCAACCTCCACTATATATTTTAATTCCAAAATGAAATGAGAAATAAAATAAAAGGAAGTAATATTCGTATTTTTTTTTGTTTTTTACTCTATATTTTATTTTATTTTAAAATAAAATATAGAATAGGGTTAGAGATAATTTTTAAAAATGTTATTGATTTAGGAACCAGAGGAAGCTTCATGTCAAAGCAATATGATTGGGCTGCTGACCTAAGTTTCTGTAAGCATGTGGCATTGATTTCAAGAAATAAACTTAAACTTTGGACTCTTGCCATGAATTATTTGTTTAGTAAAGTTAGTTGAGGGTTTTGACTTCGTTATAACAAGTTACGTTGGCATGATGGCACCTCGACTGATGTCTAGTGCTATAAATTCGTTAAGTCATTAAGCTAGCTTAGTGTTGAAATATATATATATATATATATATATATATATTGAACAGCTTAGCAGGGCCGTCTCAATTTATTTATGGCTCTGTTCAAGAACAAAAATTATTAATGGTATATTTAAATATGTAATGAAGTAGTTTTAAAAATATTTCTTTTATATATATTTAATGCTTCTTTTTAAATTATAAGCTACAAAACTAATAATATATCTATAACTTTAAAATTTTAGGCCCTAATTTATATATTTACTTTTAAAAAATATTCTTGATTTTTTTTTAAAATAAATTGGACCATGTCCTACTGCTCCATTTGCTCGTGCTGTTAGACCCTGCAGCTTAGGTTGTGTCCATATATCGTATTGTGGGCTAGAACTACTAGGCTTTGTAGCCGTTGTTGTTTAAACAAGTTACGTTGGCATAATGGCACCTCGACTGATGTCTAGTGCTATAAATTCGTTAAGTCATTTAGCTAGCTTCGTGTTGAAAATATATATACCGAACAGCTTAGGTTTTGCCCATCTATTGTGGGCTAGAATGGTCCTAAGTCTAGTCCAGAGCCCACATATATCATAATAATTTCATACTTATTGTCATTATTGAACCAAACCATGCAAATTGTATTCGAGTTTCACATATAATATTGTATACACATGTGCTCCTTTATCATATAAAGTCCACTATAATCATGTTCGCTGGAACTTAGAAGATCTTTGACTACCGACAGTAGAATTGTAATTTAATATAGCAAACCAAAAGGTCCAAAACTATTAGAAGTCAAATAAAATGTCATATAACTTGAAATTTATTTCAACATGCAAGTTGCACTCTTTTAACAAACCAAACAAATTGGACCATATAAGATCTCCAGCACCAAATCATATTAATGCTCAATAAATGTATCTATCTTTGCCGTACGTGATCAACTGATTTGGGCAGACTTCATGCTCCAAGCACTTAAGCTTAAGACATCAACAGTTTGAGATCCATAGTTAAAAGCAAAGAGATGTGAATTTTTTCCTATTGCCAGTTTTGGGTATACTCTGGAGGTAATGCATGCTCGTCCCTTTCCACCGAAACTCTCCACTACTGAATGATCAATCTACAATAACAACATGAAACAATTAAAACTTGTTTATGAAACCTACAGCAAATATAACCCCCTTGATTATTGATACGGTAAAGATCATATAATCTTGATCAGAGGGTAATTAATATATCTCGTATTTTTCATGTGGGTTTGCATGCCTTTTTGACATTTCCTGAAATAGTAACATATAAAAAAATATGTGTGAAGTGAAGACTTAATTACCAAGGCTCTGAGGGAGAGTGGTTGGTGAGGATTAATGTCCACAAAAGCTCCGTAAGTTGTTTTGTCATTATCTTCCTCCAATGAAGACCTGTCCCAAGTTCAACATCACCAAAAATGTCACATAATTAGAAAGTCAAATTTTTGGATATTTCTTCAATCTTTTCAAGAAAATTCAATTTGGATGTATGTGACTGTTGAAAAAAGAATAAACATACGTACTTGTCGCAAAGATTAGTCTAAATTAATGTACTTAATAGTTAATATGGATATTAATCAAGGAAACGTACCTGCTTTGGTCACTGCACATGAGCACAACGTACTTATTGCTATTTTGATGTGCTTTGAAGATTCTAAAATAAACGGATGTGTACTCTTCCAAGTTCTTAGATGCAAGAACCATTAAACCGAATGGACCTAAACCGGACTTAACCGACACATTCATCTGACTACACATCAGCTGTGGATCAGTCCAACTTGCTTTCATCACATCCGCTTTCTCCAAGTTTCTCACTTTGAACAAAACCTCCACATCAGCCTGTAATAATCATAAGATTTTTTAAGAACCTTATTTTTCAAATACTAATTATTTAAATACACGTAGTGTAAAATAATGCACCTGTGCAGCTGTCACACCATAGACTTCAAGTCTAGATCTTGAATTTAAAACTTTGTTACGTAAGTTGACTTGCTTCGTACGTAATCTCTCTACTTCCCTAACCGGCCATTGAATCAATTGTTTCCCGGACCGATCAAGCCAAATTTTCCTTGGAATCGTCTAATAAAAATTTGAAAATATATTCAATTTCTACCAAACTATGGTTACTTAAGTTTCAACTAAATTTAAATAATTTACCTGAATACCGGACCAGCCTTTCTCAACATCATCCTCAACCGATGATGACTCATTAGTCCAACCCCACAACACTCTCCTGTTCTTGGCTGAGTCATAAAACGTTTTCGACGCGTAGTACTTCCCGTAATCATATCTAGGAGCCGTACCGTCCATCTTAAAACCCTTGTCGGGTACGAACTTATCTCCAACCCGGTCGTACGTACCAACCGTGTAATAATCATGTTTCGTGTCATCCAAACTTATTTTCAACACGTGCTTCAAAACCTCATTAGGTTCACCAAAAGAGGAAGTTTCAACGCCTTTAGAGCCAAACCTCGTCACGGGGAAAAAGTCAGGACATTCCCACATTCCACTTCCGTCGTCATAATGCAAAGGCTCAGGAGATTTTTCCCATTTTAGAAAGTCTTTGCTCGTGTAAGTAATCGCTAGTCCACGTCGGTGGATCTTGCTACCAATGATCACTCTCCACTTCTTGTCGTGCCCTAGCCACGCGGTGGTTGGGTCACGGAACGAGCTGGCGTTGATACCGTTGACGGCGTCAGGAGCCATCAGAGGATTTAACGGTGACTTTTTCCATTCCACGAGGTAGGGATCGGAGAGGTCCTTAGGTTCGGCTATGTTTTGGACCTGTTGGTTCTTTGGGTCGATACCGGTATAGAGGATAACCGGTTTGCCATCAGGGAGGATTGTAACCGAACCGGACCAGCATCCGTTGATATCAAACGGCTCAGAGGGGAAGATAGCTGGAGGATGTGGGTCCCAGTTGATTAAGTCTGTTGAAGTGGAATGAGCCCACACGATGTTACCCCACACGGCGCCTTTGGGGTTCCATTGGTAGAAAAGATGATATATTCCTTTGTATATCATAGGGCCTGTATAAATAAATGTAAATATTTTATTATATGCATATGTAATCATCGTGGTGCAGGCTTGCAGCGTAATAAAAGGTCGACCAATGCATTAGAAAATTCAGAAAATACGGTTGGAAATGCTGACTTATTGGTATAATTAATGTTTCTGAAGAAAATAATAAATTAGTAGTTTTGGAAATGATCTGTCTATTGGATAGGAAGAGTTGACTAACCATTAGGATCTGCTCAGGGCAAAGAGATCAATCCAATTTGTCCAAGCATGAACAGAAGAAACAAAAGGTTAAAAAGAGATGAAAATTAACAATAGGAATGTGAGACTGAGATTAATATGGTTGTTATTGGAATATACCGTTCATCCAATTCTTGGGTGGTTGAAAATGGTAACCGGTCCGGTAGGGTTGGTTTACTGAAGGAGACTTGGTGTTAGATCTTTGGGTAAGTCTATTATACACATGGTGCGAGGCTTCGAGATCGGCGACATAGTTACTAAGAAGTAACGTGAATAATAACCAAAGTCCAATGTTGGAGCAAACTTCTTTGGTCATTGTGTTTTTGTGTGTTGTTGTTTCTTTATGGTTGTTGTTTGAAGGAGGGAAGATCATGTCAAATTTATAGGCAAATGACGAGGGCAAGTCTGTCAATAAAAAGTTGAGTATTATATATGTAAATCGTGTTTTATTTGTTTTTCTCGCTTTATGTTAATAATGAATGTTATACTGCCATAAGTCAGACATTTAAACAAGTTGTTTCCAACAATTTTCGTTGTTCTAAAGATAAATGAGTCGTACTTAAATGCTTTTTAGATTTCGTACCAAACTTTTACAAACTATTTTC